ATCATCGATATTTGCAGACATGATTAGGTACCATGACAGACTTGTAACTGGTAAATGTAATGTGTATTTAATAGTGCATTCTGCCTACAAGAATGAAAGCAAAGCTATAGCCAACATTTATAAAAGTTTTATTGTCTCCCACTTTACATAAAAAAAAATATTATAGCAATTTCAAATCTGAATACTCTTTGGAACCATATTTAGAATATGTAAATAACGTCAAACACAGAGTTGCCATCACTAAGTTCACAATTTCTGCACATTAACTAAGAAAATTAAGACATTTACAAGTACCACCTAAGGAAAGGTTATGCATACTATGTGATGATCTAGTTGTTGGCAATGAGATGCATGCTTTCTTAGATTGCAGGAACTTGGAGATGGAAATTTCTAGGTGTCAATTTTTTAGAACAGTCTCACAATGCACAATAAAGAATTTGAGAGTTTGCCTAAACAGATCATCTTTAAGAAACTGTTCAATTGAGTTCAAAAGATAGTTTCATTGCCAACAGTCCTTTAGGAGTCTTTCAATTCAATTCAATTCGTTTATTTAAAGTCAGTTTGAAAATTACAAACATCAAACACAGAGAAAAACAACAGTAAGATTTCACAAATAATCAATTAAATATCTTAAAATGATGGTGACCACAATGACACCATTTGCTTAAAAGAATACAAATCTTTGCACTCCTTCATTCGATTAGGAAGCGAGTTCCATATGTTCGCACCATAATAAGACAATGACTCCAGCTCATAGCGTTTAGTCCTTGGTCGTTTTAACTGTAATTGATGAGAATTTCTTAAATTGTACATTACATTTTTCTCCTTGTATAAATTCCATATAAAAGATGGGGAGAGTTTGTTCACACTTTTATAAACTTCAACAAGTATGTCACGATTCCTGGACATCTCTAGTGTTTGTAGTCCAGCACGTTCCAATAAAGTTTGATAGCTGGACTGAAAATCATTGTACACAAATTTCAGAGCTCTGTATTGAATACGCTCCATCTTAGCAATGTTTGCTTTACCACAAAAATTCCAAACTAAAGAACAATAAATAAAATGTGATAAAATAAAACATCTAAATATACATAGTCTTGAGGCTTGATCTAGATAACCCGACATTCTTTGCAAAACTTTCAATTGGGCACCTGCCCGTTTACACAGAACACTAACACGATGATGACAATTTAAAATTCTGATCAATATTAATCCCGAGCAATTTAACACTAGTTTCAGTTTCAATAGCAACACCCCCAATACTAAAAGTGGTATTGTCAGATTTGTCATTTAATATAATTGCTTGAAATTTATTTATACTAGCTTCCATCATGTTATCTTTGAACCATTTGACAGCTATTTCTGATCGTTGAGTTGTTTATCAGCTCATTTTTATCTACACCAGTAGCTGATATAGTATTGTCATCAGCATAATTATAAAGTGATATATTTGTAGATATTGCAAAAGGGTTTTTATTCATAAAATCTTAGAAATGTATGCTAATTGTTAAACGTGTTTTTGGTTTTATTTGTTATTGTTGTCTATGACAGTGTGCATTACTTTGTTCGTTTTTGACCATAAATTACGTAATTTCTGTTATTATTTCGAGTCAAATAAAATATTCTATTCTAAGTACGTGAATGCTTGTGAGTACTGAGTGTTATTCCAAATAAAAACACCGTTTTTTTTTTCGTGAATGCCTTTCACAAACTCATATCTCACTCTCCATTTTATAGAATAACTCAGAGATAAAATAATCACATTTTGTCTATCTTTGATTCGACCGAATATTGTTACCATCGTGCTGTCATTTTTCAACTTGGCATATTTTGGTAGTTCGTGCGCCCTCATACGGCCTCCTATACAACAGCGTAAATGATTGGTTGTTCTTACCGTCCTCCAACACACGCATCCAATGAGCATGAGTGTTAGAAAGCGCACCTTTGTTGTTTGTAGACAAATATTTCCTGTTCGCAGGACAACAACGTGACAACCATTATTGGACGTACTTTCTATTTTTAAAGGTACGTGACAAAAACCGAAACACTCGTTGAAATGTGGAACGAGTATACCAATCAACTTATTTATGCGAACAGTTGGTGCTGGCCGAGCAACTCCGCAATTGCCAAGTTCGAGGTCACACTCGTGTTGATTTCAGTTTCTTCTAACCCGATATTGTCATCACCGTGGTCCGTGGGATAGGTTCAATCCGGGTTCAATCATTGAGGGCCTTGGCCCACAGTCAGATGGACGATGCCTGGCCCTATACACTAATTAACAGTCAGTCAATATCATCTGCCGGGTCTCTGATTTATTTTTCGACTGTTGTCTGTTGACAACCTTAACAATAGCCGTTTGTTGTCTCCGTCGCTCACCATTGCGATAGATAATTGATTCTATTCTGGCGATCCGGAATATGATTGACTCTTACGTAACACTATTATACCCCCCCCCCCGATTACTTGAAGTTTGACCTTTTTTTGACTCCCTAAGATTTGACGAACTGAACCATTACATATGGTAAACGTGTTCTGTTCGTGTCAAACTGTTTTATACTGGAGCGGTGAGGCGTTATAAATGTATATATATATATATATTTTGTTCTAAAATTTGTTGGCATACAACTTTTGCAGGTTTCATCACTTCGTCAAGTGAGGGCGCTATGCAATAGCGAAAATACCATTAAAAATGTTTCAATCACTTTTTTCATTGGTACATTGACCAGAAACCATTTTTTTTACCCCCTTTCCTTAACTCTTAGCTATGAAAACTATTATATATCAAACTACAAATTAAATTTAATTCAATTGAAAACAACCCTATATAAAGTTGCATTTTAATTAAGTTTAATTAAACCTCAATTATATTGAAACGTTATATAGAGAACCAGGTAGCAATTTAATAGTTTGATTTAACCATATAGCGTTGCTTTCTAATCAACCATAACACAAATCGAAATGTAAATCGCAAATAACAGTTTAGTAGTTGCCGATGCAAACTGGTTTCTACGTAATTCTGTTCCATATTTATAAAAACTATTTTCAATATTTATGTTTTGTAAATATAAAATATTTATAAATTTAACAAGTTTCATTGACTAATCAAAATGGTCAATGTGAGATCACAGCGGATAAATACACCCCCCCCCCCCGAAAGGGATGACCCAGTCAAATATAAATTGGGAAGTGCATTGTGAAGTGGATGTCTACCAATCAACCAGAATGTGATTGTCCTTGCGACACATTGTGGAACACAGCACAGATTGTTATAACCAATCCAGTTTGATCCGGATTTGAATGAAATATTTGATAAATTTGTTATTAACTACTTATAAAATATGCAAATCGCTTTGCTAAAAGCATTGTACATTAAATTGTAACTGTTTTACCATTAGAAGATGCGGCTTCTATTAAAATTTAACGATGTATTTACTGTAATAAATCCAATAGCCCCCTGTATTCCCAATGTATCCTCCTTGCCAATAGCCATACATCAACTAGCTATACAGTTGTAATTATTTTTTTAGTGTCTTAGGGAGTGACCAAATCTCACAAGGCTTTCTCTGTTCAATGATCAAATATGGGCGATATTACAAAATCAATATTCGACATGAAGCATTTCCCATTAAGATTACTGTTTTCTGTAAAACCGTTAGGCATGTCACTGCATGTCGTAATATATTAACAATACAAGACAATACAACACATAGTCGATGAACAACGCAATGCAATCTGTATAACCCACAAGATTTAATTTTTGGCCAAGTTACTCAAAATTGGAAGGATTTTTGAGAATAAATTTTTCTGACAATACAACTTAAAAAGTCTGCATAGTGTTGATATTATGTAGTGGACACGAGAAAATAAAGATCAGTTCAGTTGTAACTGTTGTGATTGGGTGGCTCTCATCATTCATTGTTCATCAACAAAAAGTAAAAATAAGCAAACCAAAAGTCACATCACCAATAAACAAAAGACAAAACTGCTACAAAGTATTGTTATTCTCCCTGACTTAGACGCAAGTCTATGGTTCAATTAAAACAAATATATCACTTTCGGACTTAACCTTCATCCTAATTGTTGTTCTAAGTTGTTTATGATTGGTTATTATTTGGACCAAACCTAAATTTCAATCGTAGCCACACCCATCCTGAAAACTACTCACTCTGAAAATCGACATAGATCAGGTTTTGCTGTATCTGAATGGGTTTCCTGTGAAAGGTGTTATTAAAATACTTGTTTCTCACTCTATTTATCTTTAAAAAATCATTAATGAATCATACTACAACATTTCTGCATTCACCATTGCCAAGAATCAAGAATTCGCAGAGAATTTTGTCAATACCACATTCTCATGTTGAAAGTCAAGCATGACGTACGTTAATTTCTCCACATCATTTGTTTCGAAAGCGAATGTAATGATGATGTCCTTTTGATGACTTTGTTTTTCAGCAAACTCTGATAAACTTGAAATCATGATTTCTGATAGTATGTGAATAATATTGTAATAAAATGTGCATATTTTTTTTTTCTTAAAAGTGTTGTTAAAAGTGGGGATGCATGGAAATCCTTGATGATGCAACTTGTTTCATGAAACAGTCACGGTGTGATTTTCCCTGCCTGGTAACCATCAAAGGCCGCAAACTCTCAGAAAACGGTACTTTGAAATAATTGTTCACACTCGCCTGAATATTGTAAAAAGATTACCCCTGTATGTGCGACATACATAAATTTTGTTGTTCAGGAATACTTCAAAGTTTTTTGATTTTTCTGTTGTTTTCACCGGCTCTTCGACTGACGTTCTACAGCAGCTCGCGCAGACCGCATAGAAATACATGTTGCAGTGGTGTGAGTCTTAGCAACGTGGAATGTTCTATGATGTAGCTCGGCCCGAGGATTACACTTCCAAATTTATTCTACCCAAAATAAAACTAGTATCTATGAACAAGGGCAAGGTTATTATTGTTATGCTATGTTATTTTTTTTGCAGAAAGTTTTAGAGCAAATTGGGCTGAATGGGAGTTACTACCAGCAGTCCGGCTACAAAGGCTGGTGGTGGTCGGTCAAAGCCTAAGAATGATACGAGCAGAAGACCCTCGTTTGCAGTCGGTCAAGGAAAAGATATCATGATAAGTTATAGTCACACAGATGTGGAATGGATGAGAAAAATAAAAGGTTTTTAAATTTTAGTATAAAACTTGATCAAGGAATTATAAGATGGAGGTATTGCGAAGGGTGTGATGTAGGCGATGTAGATATCATGCAAATTGGAAAAAGTCACACGAATTGAGAAATTACAAAGTTGCCATAGAAACGTACATTTCTAGAAAAATTAATACAAATCATGAAATGGGTGATTCTCTGAAAAAAATGGTTTTGTTTGTTTAACTTAATCACAAAGTTTGAAATATGCATTCTGTGATGTCATAGGTTGAAAATGCGTCTGTACTGATGCATGCATGGAACTCATGAAGTTAGATCCTCATCGCAAAATCTCTGTACATACTTATTACAGCAAGTCTCGCTAGCGTATTGGCTACCTGCTTTGATTTTGACTGAACGATTGGCGTTCGAATCTTGCTGGCGCCGTCCTATGGTCACGCCCACTCTTGGTGAATTTATACAACATACTTTAGTTGGATGGTGATTTCGCTTCGAATATACCAGGGAAAGTGTTCTATTTTCTTTGTGTAATGAGGTGTTCCTTTACAAGGGATTGTCCACGCAAAAGCGATAGAATTTTATTAGCGGTTGGTTTAATGTTACCCTACGAATCATTTGGGTGTGAAAATTAATTTTCTCGCTGTTATATAGGAAACTGTTTCTCAACTTGTCTCCTTATTTAGTTTCAATCAGTGTTCAAGATGGCTACCCCCATATAGTAAATATCGGTGGAGTAATCGCATTTATCACATCACTTGTACTCCAGCTGACTGTGGCCATTCCCAGGCTGACTTTCACATTATCACGCCTCGCAAAGCAAATCATTCTATGTTCCCTAATGCAATATAGACTTGCCCAGAGTGGACGCGACCACGAGTCGGCGCCAGCGAGATTTGAAAGCCAACTGTTTAGTCAAAACCCAAGCAGTTAGCCAATTCGCTAGCGAGTTTGCAAATTGGCTGCCCCAATACTTCTGAGATTTGCTGTAAGTAGAATACCTATATAATGTTAATCCTTGGTTTTTGTGCATGTCATTCATTACCATGCATGTGTATTCAAAAATGACGGGAAAATTTAGTTTTTTCATTTGTTGACTCTGGTATTAATTAAAAAATAAAATGACTGAAACAATTTGTCTCAAATTTTTTTCTTTTAACTTGGAAATATTATCAACAAGGGTTCTCGGTCAAGTTGAATTTTGACATGTCTTGCTAGTATATTTTTAAAGATATTGGTGAAATTGTAACTGAAAATTTGAGTCGCTTTGTAGTTACAATTACCGATACTCAACTTTTTTTTTTCAAACTTGAAAATCTTATTATTATTCATTATAAAATATCAACCAAACTCAATTGTGGTGAAATTAGCAATTTGGTAGAAACAGAGAAATAAATGTAAAGATTGAAGACATTTGAACTTCTGATTATGAGAAACAGATGTCAGTAATATACTCTTCAAGATCTGTTACTTTACGATAGTTTTCAATAGACCATTTCTCCTGAGATCCCACATTATGCATGAACTCAAACATAAAAACAGGACAAACAAAGCCCATAGTGATGTAGTGGCATCAAATATCACAGGAGATTTGACAAACCTGAAAGTATCTTGGGAGTATTTCCACATTTAAAGGGGAACTGCTCAATCCCATGGATTGCATCAAGTGCTCATGGGTAATTAACTTCGCCTCTGTCCACTAAGTAAATGAATGCTTATTATGCTTGCTTACTCAAACTGTGATTGACAGACATTTTGCATACATTAGCCGCCATTTTAAACTTGTGATTTTTACTTGTCGGGGCACGTTTCTACTGAAAACAACAACATTTATACATCAAAAGCCCAACCAGATGAGAGTAATCGCTAGCATACATGTTCATGCCCCCATAGAAATGTATTTCGAATCACAGCTTGATCTCTAAACATCGTAAATGGCACATTTCCCGGAGCTCCCGCCATGATGTGAGTGACTTCGAATTAGCATACTAATTGCGGGGGCCATCTTGCCCCTATTTATAGTATCGGTTCCCCTTTAATAAATGTGCGATACAAATTTGATGATAGTCACTTTTGATGGAGTAAGTTTCTTCTCTGAAAGATTGATTTTGAGTTCAGATTCAAATCATTTGATTTTTGCAACAAATGTTTGGTTAATATTTTTCGTGAGATCTCGCAGTGAACAGAAAATCACCTATTATTAATTTGCTAATTTGCATATAAATACAATTGGCAGTTTGTTCAAGCGTATTCAAATCTTGGTAAATGCATATGTAATTGGATGTCTGCATATTAATTACATAATTTGAATATTTGTGGTTTCAGAAAGATTAGAATCTGCCGGAATCTCAGTCTGGGTGGACGAAGCCTATCTAGGTGCAGGAGTGGAATTTCTCAGTAAAATTGGACAAGCCATTGTTGATGCCAAGGTAAGTACAGTTTATGTGCTACATGAACCAACAAATTATTTCATGTTTTGAAAGATACTGCAGTACATTTTACTGTTATGCTTAACTTTTTCACCACCAGACCTTCTTGTCCAAATTTTTCTGCACTGCACTTATATTCTACAATATTTCTGAGGATAAACCCCAATTTTAGAGCCAACAGACAAAATTTGTGTAAATTTTCGTTTTTTACGCAAAAAATTTGGCTATTTTTGTCCCAATCTTCTGAAGGAAAGTGCAGACTATAAACTGGACTATTTTGTGAATTTGTGATGAAAAGAAGAAACTGGTGGTGAAAAGGTTAAAACAATCTGAATAATTTCACCTGTTACAATATTATTTGAACCACATAACGGGAAATGTTTCAATATGGAAAAGAAGATTGCTGTGTAGATATCGTAATATTTAAATATTCGCATTTATAAACAGTTCCGAAACATGCAACACTTAGTTACCATAGCTTCATGTTAAATTTATCGTGTACAAGATTATCAAAATATAACTTATCCCGATTTAGTTATTCACATTAGTATATGCGCTTGTAATAAAGTGAATATTGTATATGTGATTATTTGTTTTCCTGTGCAGTTATTTCTCTCACTACTGAGCACTACGTCTGTCAAGTCCAAGTATTGTAAAGATGAGTTAGCCTTGGCGTACGTCTCCAATAAACTCATCTTTCCGTGCGCTCTCCAGACTCGAGAGGAACTCTCCAATGATATGGATTTTGGCATGTAAGTTTTTTTACTTTTTCAGTATTTCAGTATTTCAGTGAAATTCATGTAAGTTTCAATCAGTCATGTGTTTTCACCTGTACACATACACTTACCGTACCGTATGTTTAAATTTTGTAGAAATAAAATAACAAATTACCTGTTCAGGGCAGACTTAGTGATAAACGCAACTAGCTAGTTCAATGTAACTAGTAAGATGTTTCACAGTACTACAAAGTACATTTCTGAGTGAAAATCTGTATCAAATAAACGAAAAGGAGTAAACATCTACTCAAACTTATTTATTGTGAACCACAAGAAATGGGTAAAATCCATATTGAGGTTGATAAGTGAAGAACTAATTTGAGTACCCCAGATTTTTTTCGTCAGAATTTAAAACAGCCAATCACGGAAAATAATTTAGACAAGCTTTAAGAAATTCTTGTCCCAAAAGACGTAACCATCTTTAAACTGGTTTGTGTATCACAAGAATGGTGATAAAAGGAAGTGTGCCCTCTAGTGTTGAGAAACAGAAGCTTTGTACATATTTGCTAGAGTGATATTCAAATAGATATGAGTCAAATGTGTTCTGATTTATTTATGGTTATTTTTTCAACAGGGCATTAACATTAATGGCATGTCCCTCTATTATTATTATTTTAACGTAAGGCAGAGATTTGAATATTTTCAATATGCAAAAAAAAAGAGCTACAGTGAACATAGCACTAGAAATGATGGGCAGCACTATTGGGTTGGAATTGGATGGAATACACTTAGTGAATTGAAGATTTAATACTGTATTACCTCTATTGAAAGTGTATCTCCAATAAAAACATATAAACCAAAAATTGTACCTATTGCACACAGGATCATTAAAGTGTAACTGAATTGGGACAATTGACTTTTTTTGCGCCCAATTCAGTTACACTTTAAAATATAACTAGGTTCATCATTATATAAGCACAGGCACTAATAATGGAGCAAATACTGTAATTCAAGTGACCAATCACGATAATTGTTTCATTGTGTTTTTTAAAGTGAATCCTATGACCAATCCTATTCATTGCAGGAAGTTAACTTTGGCACCAATGAAATGGATATATTTTAGTTCAGACAGGCCTATCAAAGATTCCTGTGACGAACTAATCATTGAAATCAAATTAAAACTTAAAGAACTTAAAGAGGAAGAAGAAGAGGTAGACAGTCAAGAAAATTCAAGTACGAAATTTTTATACATTTGTTGTGAAAACTTTTACTGTATTGTATACACAGTTCTTTTACAAACATTGTGTTTGCAATATGATATAATGTACATTTCTGTTGGCTTTATTGATCTATCGCTGCATTTCTAACACACGTGTGATTATTGAGTGATACAGTTATTTTAGTAAAAATCAGAAATATAGAATACCATTCAGAAATCAATTCAAAATAGTCGTGACATGCATGACAGGAAGTGTCAAACACAAACACACTACCTGCAGTGGAGAAAACAAAATGCACAACAACATTTTACAATATGTTTGTAGCTGGGCAACATAGTTCACAAATAATAAATGTAGTAATATTTTCACATTTCATTGAATAGGATTTTGTCCCCCACCATTTTAAGTTCAGACTAGTAGCTACTTTCCATAAGTCATAAACATAAATTGACCATAGAAAACAACTTTAACATACTGACAAAATTCAAATAAAACAACAAATATAAAGTGTTTCTTACCTTTGAAAGAGAATTTCCCTTAGTTCCATGCAGCAAAACAAGTTATTCCCGCAGGAGCCTCTTTCTCAGTTCCTCTCCCACATAAATGATGGATCCAGCATGCAATATAAATGCAATTGTTGGTGCATGTGCATTTATATTGTTCCTATAGAATGGTTTTCACATTGTTAAATAAATGATTAAAAAGCAAAAATGGTAACCAAGTATGTCAAGATTTGTAAATTTTTTTAATAACCATCTAGAAACCTAGCCCGAGGTTATATGACTATCTTTGGGATTTTGTTGCCAATTGTTATATTGCTTGTTATTCTATGGAAGTTGCATTAATTTGGTACTCTCTCACATTTAAATATGAATTATATATAAACAAACTATTTATATATTATTTTGGTTTATTTTCTCTGTCTGTTGATGCACATTAATATGTCATTTTGCTTTTATATTACGGGTATCAATTCTGCTTGCACAAACCATATCTATAATTCATAGTCAGAAGTCAGGTTTTATATTTACATCTCTATGGTTACTTCTTACAATTGATCAGGTACTTCTCAATTATATCTCAGTTGGTCAGAGGAAAAAAAATTGCATGGGCTTTTTTGTGTGTTTTGAAATATAATAATAATATAATTACCTATTTCTCATTAAATTATGTCTACAAGCAGGAGCAGATGTATAATATTATTTGTAATAAGGTTATTCTTGCAATAACAACATATTATTTACATCAATATCATAAATATATATATATATATATATATATTTTTAAAAAATGTTCAGAATTATCACCAGTGAATTGATGAGAATAGAATTGAATCATAATTATAACATGATATGATATGATATGATAACAACCCCAAATAATTAATAATAAAAATTCTAATCTCGACATATATGCATCATTCTGTACCACTACAGAGGTATGAAAATAAAGAATTGGTTTAATCTAATTGTAGTGTGGTTTCCTTACAGCATTATCTCCCCACTCTGTATCGACTAGATCACCTAAAAAACGGCTTTTAAAGCGACAGATGACACAAGGCAACATGGGAAATGATGTAGACATCAAAGGAGATGAAAAAAATGAAGATTTCTGGAAGAAATATTTTAAAGGTCAAAATAAAGTGTTATGGACAAAGTAAGTACTTATATTTATCCCATGTAGCATGTGGTAGTAGTGACGTAAAACCATGTACTGTAAAAAACTATATTTCAGCTGGAAATAATGTTCACTGAAAAGACTTTTTGGGTGTTTTGTATGAAATTTATTTTCACTGATTTTTGACAAGTTGAATGTAAAATATAGAAAAAAAGGTTTATTCGCTGGA